CCTTATCACTTTAGATGAAGACCCCTATTGAAATTAATTCAGTGCATATTTTCCATATCTTCATAGTTTAAGATATTATTTTATTTAGGCTACTGGCAGCCCACAATACACGCCAAATATATACATATATCGAGCCCTAACCGCCAAAAGAACGTGATCGACATTTTTTTTTAATTACGTCTTAGAAACGGCTTGATGAATATGCTGCCAAATGAACTGCTGATAAATGTAAACAAATGAAATTGCAATAAAGAGAGATAGTTGCGCCGATAGTATTTAGAATGCAACGCTGAGCTGCCGCCTTGTTGAAAAAATCGTTCAATGTTATAATAAATTAAACAGTGTATAATTATATAGCAAACATCTTAAAAACATATATTTAGAAACGCAGTATTATGACAAAATATTTTAGTTACTTTATCACATCAGTAATATAAAATATAATAAATTTGTTTGCAACTTTTCATACGTCTGTCAGCTGTTTAGGCTACGCCCAACACATTGAGTTCAGGTAGCGTTAAAATTTTTCGCTGGAAAAATTACGGAAACTTGCCCATTGTGCGACGTGGTGTTGTACTCCAGGGTTAAAGGTTTTGCGAGTTTTTACTATTGACGTGTCAAGTTTCATGTAAGTATATCGAATTCCATGCATTTTATGTATGTATGTATGTACACTAACTACGCAAAGAAACCTTCCATCTACACATCGACTTTCACACGACCACAACTGCCGCCACCAACTTGTCGCTCAAATGGAAATTTACTTATTTTAACACAATTATATGTAGCGTACTTTACTCTTTTACCACATAACAGGCAAGTTTTCAAGGTTTTTGATTGTAATAAATCGGATTTACACCCACCCACTTCAAAAAATACACGAATATTAGTTGATGGTATGCTGCTCTACCACAAAAATAGCTAAGAGGAATTTTTGGCAACAACGGAATTTCTTTATGAGAAAGTGAAGATCTGCTAGGTGAATGAATGTGAGGTGGAGAACTTGCTAGCTTGAAAAGAGAAAAGAGCTAAATTAGGAGTCATAAGTTTGAGTGGGGCAAGTGTATAAATATTTCTGGCAAAATATTTTGGTTAAAAGTTCAGCAAAAAGTGCCACATGAATGAACTTGGCAAAGGATATGGAAAAAGTTTTCACTTTTCACATGCACAACTAGAAGCACATCAGTATGCTTGTTCATATGCAGCTACCATATGTATAATTGTAAGATTTGTATGCGAAAAGTTTGTCTAACAGGATGCAGTATCAGAGGACACTCAAAAGTAAATGCCTTAAAGGCTAAAGTAGTAGTTAAAGTAAGGAGTGTAAATGCAGTAGAAGAGGTTTAGAAATAATTAAGCATACCGTCGATGTTTTTGTGAAACCACCCATCGACTAGTTGGAAAACCGTCTAAATCGCCGTTGTGGCAAAAAAAGAGATTTTGTAACACTGAACTCCAGACATCGAGATTTATGCATAAAAATCACAAAATCGTTATTAAAACAACATATTTGTAAAATAATATAATAATAATAATAATATCGCCTCAAAGAAAACCCATTTTTTCACTCTCCTGTAAAATTTAAGTGCCATAAGATAGGCGGTTTTGCAATTGGTCGATGGGCGGTTTTGAGAAAACATCGACGATATGTACATATCGCATACCTAAATCTAAAGTGGGTAGAAAATTGAACTGCTTGTGGGTCGTACAGATTCAACGCAATAAATAAAAAAACAGGTATAACAGTAGTTTTTTAGTTAATATATATAATCACGAAGAAAACAATATTTCCATAAATTGCATGTATGTCCCATGAATTGATTTATGCAAAAAAAAATCGCCCAAAATTTTGGTTTTAAGTTGATCGCACTTTAGATCTAGGTATGCGATATGTATATATTTAGATATAAGGTATTTTAAAAGATAAAAATTAAATTGTGGGAAACTTTGTAAGTATTTAGTGCAAAAAATACATTCATTGATAAAAACTGTTTCGACAGCCATAACAATGTTAACATATATTGGGTTTAAGGCGTGATGGAGTCCGAAACAGGTCAAGCCACGAGTATTTGTTGGCTTATTAAATTAGTCCAAATGCCTTTTACGGCAGCTCATTCTGCTCAGCATATCCGTTATTGATTCTTAGTACCAAGTGAATCCTACTTACGTCACGCAATTACATAAATGTATTGACACAGCAGTGTCCTTCAAGTGATTAAACTTTAAAATCTACTAAAATATTTACAACCTATTGAACTCACGGCCATTCAACCCCATATACATACATACTTACATAGATTCTTATACTTATACATACAAACCCATGTATAAAAGTATTTTATAAGCGTCTACCCTTAAGTTCCTAAGAAAACATACTTGATAAACTTTTCACTAAGCTACGCCAAAGCTGCATATTGTAGTCATTTATATCTATGCGTGAATATAGGGGTTTGTGTGTACATATCGCACACCGTCTTCAAAAGAGTCCAAAACTCAAAATTTGGCATTTTTGAGATTCTGCGCTAAAAATGTACACAGAGCTTTTATTTACCTTTCAGCAAAAGCTGGAGCAAATGTTTGCTATTATTTGTTAAAAAAAAGCCTAGGGTAAAGTCGCCCTGCCCATATGATTATCATGTGCTAAGAAATAATTTTCGCATTTTCTGACAAACGTATTATTTTGTATTGTGACTATTTTTATGACGGTGTGCGATATATGCGATATGTATGTATGTATATTACATACAAGCATTCACACAAATCGAAATTCAATTTAATCGATTCATTTTATTACTTCTCGTCGTGAATATTACATTTGCAAGGTGGCACATACCAATCAATGCAGCTGAGGAAGGCCTTAAATCTCCGCCGCTATCGTCAACTGTGCTGTTTTTATTTGTGGTGAACATTGCCAGCTCCGAATGGCATAAACGTATTGTACATTGGCATTATTTGTCCATCGGTGCTTCCGTTTATTGGTTATTGGTTCGATTTTCATACTTTGCCTCTTTTTTTCTTGCTTTTCTTTTTCGAGTGTGGTTTTATACTGGTGGGTCGCTGAGGTAGCTATTTTGGTTCATGTATTTTTTGGGGCATTATCTAGCTCTTTCCTTAAAATTAAAATGATGGGATTTGAAAATTTTTTCGGGATCTCCTTTAAGAAGTAATTTCTTTACTTGTTCGTGTCAAGCACTTCATAAGATTTTCTTTGAAGATTCACTAAAAAATCGATACTCTTAAAAATTTTTTAAAGATTTTTGGAACTTTAGTTTGTAGGGTGTTAACGAAATTTAAAAAAAAAAAATAAAAATCACGTACAAATTTTCTCAAAAATAGAGTAAATTAGAATTATTCCACTTCTGAATAAATCGAAAACTTCGTATTTTAAACCGGTGCCTTTCTAAGGCCGTTTGCTCAAGTAGCGTTTAAGATTTATCGATAACTATTAAAAACTATCACATTTTCCTGTTCACGTACACAAAAATCCAGCAAAGTAGGGTAATTGAGAGACAAAATTTACATTTCATTCTGATGAAAAGCTGCTAGTTTCTGCTGGAAAAATTTTTGCCAGCAGCCATTTGCCAGCATGAAAAACAGATGATCAAAGTCATCGTTTTCAATTTATGAAAATATGGAAATTAAATTTAGATTTAGATTTATTATTATGATTTTTAAGTTTGAAATAACTAAGGTATTAGAACTGCAAATGTATCGGAAGAAAGCAAATACTCATTTACTTACGTTTGATTAGCAAAGTGCTTTAGGAAAACTTTTAATTTATATTCTTTTCACGTTTTGGGCCTTTCTATGTAAACAAAATTTCGATCAGCTGTACTAAAACCATCGTACAGTTCCATAAGTAAAGTAACTCTTCTTCTTACCGTTTTTTCTGGCAGGCTGTAGGTGTGTTTTTGGCAGGCTGTAGGTGTGTTTTTGGTTATTGTATTGGTGTTTTTGGTTCAGTGTGTTAGTGTATTTTGAATAAATTGTAATAGAAATAAATGAAATTGTAATAGAAATGAAAGAAATTGTAAAAGATAAGAGCACATGCCAAAAAACAGGTGATCTCAGCTGTAGGCATATTTTGGCAATCAGCTGATAGTGTTTTTACTTATGAAACTGTACGATGACTAAAACCTTGAAAGTTTTTGCTGGTTTTGCGTTCGCGTACTTTTGCTGGCGTTTTCTCTTTGAGAGGGATCAGATAAAAATTCATTAGAATTTTGCTGCTGAGAGTTTTCTGCTGGAAGAATACGCGAATACACCTAGGGCTGGTTTCTCCAACTCAACTTAACTTAGTTAAGCCAATTTTATTGACTTCGTCAAGAATAAGCTGTGTAAAACGTAGGCTAACTTTTAACTTAAATCCAAAAAGTGGCTAAACTAAGTTGAGTTGGAGAAACCAGCCCCTAATGTTAGCTTGCTCGGCAATAGAGCTTTGAAAATAGTTTTTCTTGAAAAAAAACTGCGCTAGGAGTGTACAAGTATTTAATCATATCTCTATTGAATTTTCCTGAAGACTGAAAGATTTTTTACCAATATAAACTACCGTTTCAGTATTTTAGGAAAAAAGCAGTTATTGTGGAATGGTCTATATTTCTGTACAAATCTTTGTAGTACGAATAATGTGGAAATGTACATACGTTCATTATTGTGTTTTTTGGATAAGCTTTTGACGCGATTTCCTTTGACATACAAATATATATACGTACATATGTATGTATGTATATATGTACGTATTTGAATTCTATTAAGTGCATCATAATCAATCAAAGGCTGAATTTTGGATTTTGAGTTAGTTACAGCTTTTTGTATTTCAGCATTAATGTGAGATAGGGCCTTTCTTTATTAAGGTAATGATATGAATTACACCAACCAGATATCGAAGAAGACTTTTTGCCTTTATTTACTTTTTTCGAACCCCTAAATCTTCAGCAACTATCGACCTATTCTTACATAAGTTATAACGGTTTAAATTACATTAATTCATGTTCACTTACCTCGATTAAACTATCACTGCCCAAACAAACGGCAACACCGCCTCGTACTTTTTTGTCGCCCCCAGTCGCTGACGAGTTTACACGCACACTTGCTGTCCCGCCGCTACCAACATCCGCGCGTGTTCCTACACTACCGCCGCCTGCAGCTGTTGCTATTACAATTTCGTCCTCTTCGTCGTCGAAAGCGTGACCCTCAGCCGTTGTGCCAGTAGTTGCGACACGTTCTTCGTCGTCCGTATCGTCTGCCAAACCAATGCCCGCGGCTAAATTGAAATCATCAGAAGCGCCTGCATCCACATCCAATTGTTCTTGGAAACTTAAATCTAAATCTTGGGGTAATTTTGCATATTTGTTGTGACTTTTCATTTTCCAAATGCGACGAGACGTTATGTTGATGTGCTGATTCTTATATTATTATTTTTGTTGCTTTTTAAGCCAACGAAACGGGGTCAGTTAAAGCATGGATGAGTCATGCGTGCGGCAAGGACGTAAAACGAGGTAATTATAAGGTTTTAAAAGTAGTTTCTATTTTTAATTCTTATTTGAATAAAATTGCAGCGAAAATTCGGTTTTACGGTATTTCAAATGTTTTTAGTCACTTTTACTTTCCGCTACTGGTTTGCTTGTATTTTGGCATTCACTAGACGAATGACACCACGTCATGTCACTGGCATGGAGAATTGAGCACAATCGATTTTTCGTCGCGTTTAATTTGCGCCGTTTTTTACGTTTTTCACATTTGCTACTTATGTACATATATACGTACATACACTATTCATATGTGTTAATTCTTTCATTTACTTTTATTCCAAATGGTAACTATGTACGTAAATTTGTCTGAATGTTTCCATTTGAGCCGCCAACAGGTTACGCCACCACTCACTTCCTCCTCACTCCCACTATTTACCAACTCACAATGAAATTGGCAGCACTGCTTTTAATCCATCAAATGTTTTTGTTCTTGTAATTCTTTGTTTTTTAATGTACGCCTACAGTGCCAAATGCTAAATTCTATCAATATGCGACAGCAGCGTTTCCGCCGGAAGAAATCGCCTCAGCGCTGTGGCGAAAACAATAGGTCGCCGCGACAGCAACAAAAATCACAGGCGCCAGCGATTCAAGGACGCATAAGAGGTGACGCTGGCGTGGCACTAGCAAAAGTCAAACTACGAAATCTCAAATGCCATTACAGTGCAGCCATGTAGACAATGCTGTGGCAGTCACAGTCGACGTCGCTGTGTACGTCGTCGCTGCACTTGCGGCAAGATTTCACGCCTCAGCGCTGCTCTAAAGCGATTAGGAAACTGCAAAGACGTTCACGTTCAGCAGCGTTGAATGGCACTGAGTAAATGAAGTACTACATACAAGTTGCACTCACGGAAATACTTTCACTGCCAAATGGGGAGTCGATGGGCGGTGATGTTATGGCGACACACAAAAATATCAGCAGAAATTGGAGCAGTGCATTGCTGCGCGTGTAATTAAATGGA